TAATATCTCTCAAATCAGACAATGGTATGTAATTCAACATGCCGTCATATACCATTGTCTTCAGGGATGAGAGTTGAAGCTCGACGAGAAACCAATGACGACATTCTAAAACAGGGATAAACACCTGCAATCAGAAATTATTGCGCACATCAAATAAAATTTATGAAAACCTTTAAAATATTCAAAAAATAAATATTAACCTTATCGACCTCCCACCACGTAGGATAAAGTTTAGTTTTTCCATTACCCAACGTATATGAAGCATCTCTCGGATCCTTTAAGTGAGCTACGTGAAAAGACGTCGGCATAATAGTCCATCGAGTATTTTTATTTTCCTCAATTTCCTTATTATTAGAAGACGTGACACCCATGCATCAATATGTTGTTTTATAAAAAAATACATATATTAGTGAATTTATTAATAATTAAAAAAAATTAATCAAAATGCAATATAAGAAGAATATAAGACTTACCACCCCATCGAGATAGCCATTATCTTCAACCCCTACTAAAATACCCCACCAAGACCGATCAAGAAACAAATGAATAACATCGTCGAGTTGGCATAGGTCAGAATAACACCCCTTGCTCCGCTCATGTAGATAAAAATCAACTACGCTCTTAGCTCAAAGGGTATTATCCGTAATTGTGTCTGGTAGTGTTTCCCTCTCTTGCTGAGGAATGGTACTGGCCGGTAACACATACGAAAGCCAACTCGCATCCATCATATCGGGCACGAGAGGGGGTTTATCAATATGTCGACATATGAAGCCATGTGAATCGGGCTTTTGAACGGCGGACAGGACCTCTTGAACGATGACAGGGGCCTCTTGAACGGTGGAAGGGGCTTCTTCGATGATGAGAGGGGCCTCTTGAATGATAGGAAGCGCCTCTTGAATGATAGGAAGCGACTCTTGAATAATGATAGGTGCATCGGGCTTCTTCTTACGGAGTCTTGGCACTAGTGGGGTGAACGAAGACGTAATGGCAAGTGCACAACGTCTGATACGTGAACCCCGTCGTGCAAAAAAACCCGACGTAAAGCATATACCTTATCAGGCCGCTGAAAATAAATTAATACATAAATCAGTAAATAAATAAATAAATAATGCCGAAAAAAGGTTATTTGCATTTTTAGTATAGTATTAAACTAATTTACCTCATTGTGTAGAGTATGAACCTCGTTCTGCAACGATGAAACAATCTCGCGTAGAGCGACAACCTCATCACGTAAAGTAGATACCTCACCACGTAGCACACCAATGTCATCGCGTAAAAAATCCACCTCACCACGTAAAGACTGAACCTCATCACGCCATGCACCATTATCTTCACGTAAAGTATCGACCTCATGATACAAAGCATCGACCTCATCACGTAACTCCCCTAACTCATCCCGTGTAGGTGGAGAATAGGGAGATAAATGTCGTGGCCTCTTTGTCGGTCGTCTATCATGAGGTGATGGTGGAGAAGAGGCTCGGTGATGTGATGAAATAGTTGATGGTGGAGGTGGAGAAGAGGCTTGATCAGGTAATGGATCCGGGTGTCGAGCTGTATAATCGGCCCGATCAGGTGATGGCTCTCGAAGTGGGGGGTGCTCATCATCCGTCCCATCAAAAAACCGCTTACTAGCTTGCCACCAATCAGAAGCAAGCTCAGCCTCTGTGGGTGTCAGCCTTTGTAATGGATAATTGGCCTCCTAACAATATAAAAACTCAAACAAAGTTAAACTTGTACTAGTAATAACTTGTTTATATATGGTATTATTTGTGTGTTAACTTACATCATTCATCGTCGTATATGGGAGTAACTCTTCCCAATCCAACATGCAGATCCTCTTCCAGGTAATAGCCCTAGGAATATCATTTGATCTTTTTATCGCATATGTCTGCATGCTGGGGAAAGTCTCAAATATCCAAATCTACAAACAATATAATACACAAGCATTAGTAATTGTTAAATAATTAATTATAATTTTGGAAACATTATATAGAAATTTTTACCTTAAAGGCCCAAGTAAAGCCTGTCAAAGTGTATTTAGAAACATCGCCCCTCAAACTTTTTCGGTCCTCAAAGGCAGACGACAACTTCTTCCAGGTAGCTTTCCATAGAATGAACCCCGCGAAAACAAGTTCCATGCATTTAGGTCCAGGTCCTCAGAGATAGGTTGTCTGCCCTCTTTGCCTAAAAAGTCGGCATGCAAAAGTAATAAATGGCATACTCGGACAACATCAAGGTTATCCATCCGAGTAAAACCATCTTTAACAAATAATCTCTTTAAGTCGTCGACGTGTAAAATTGGCTTCGACTTTGCCAGCTCAGGAAAAATCCGAGATAACCATGATGGGCGGGAGATAGGACTAGTGTACCGGGTTACTTCATCGTGTCTGAAGCGTAGACCAGTGATTAAACAATACTTCTCCCGCCCAAAACAAGTATACGCCGATGCCCGAGGAAAATGAAACCATATCTCTTCATCACCACGTTGTATCCTCTCGGGTAGATCGTTAGTCATGGTCTGAAGAAAAAAATGTGTCAACATAGCATCTCCACCCGTATGTTGTACTTTCAGCCATGGCCCGAAGCAAGTATCCTCAAACAATTTTCTTTGTAGAGGTGTAAGCGTCGATGCAATTTTAGTGGCTAGGCTTAATTTATTCCTTAAGGTCAATGCAGCCGAAAAAAAAATTCTACAAAAACAATAAACATACCAAGTTAGATATACCAAAAACTACAAATTATACACTATAAACAGACATGATATTAAACAGTGAAAACAAAGCCAAATATGTTTCAAACTAGCACGGTATTCACATGTTGTCATTATTCCATCATAGTTCACAAAATGCATCAAATAACATTCCAGAAGTAAGCACTTATATAAACATTTAAAAGGACAACATATAGGTTTAGTGCAGGTTCAAGGACAACATAAAGAGTAGTAGTTTATTCTTGAAACTTAAATTAGCAACACTGTGAAGTTAGTATTTGTCTTTTTTTGTCTTTTTGTTGAAGAAATGCAATTCATTCAAGTTTCAATTTGCAGAATAAGAGTAGTTTCTGAAACTTAAATTCGCAACGAGAAAATCGCAACGTGAAAATGAAAATCGCGACGCGAAACTAAAATCGCGTTGCGATTTTGGTGTTGCGATTTTCATTTTCGTGTTGCAAATTTAAGTTTCAAAAACTATTCTTCTACAAATTGAAACTTGAATGAATTGCATTTCTTCAACAAAAAGACAAAACAAAGACAAATACTAACTTCACAAGGTTAAAGACTAAACAGTTTAGCAGTATTGGCAACAACCGAATGAATTTACTAAGCAATCTCAGTGAAATGGTTAATCTTTATATATATTGAAATTACTAGTAAATTTATCATCAATATAAGAAAATTCTAATAATAATACAAAATTTTCAAAATAAAAATAAGAGATTAAAAAACTAACCCTCGGTGGTTGATTTTCCATTTCTGACCGTGAATGGTTGTGAGGGTTGCTCTGAGAGATGGAGATAGACGGATTTCGTCGGAGATGGGGACGGATTTCGTCAGAGATGGGGACGGATGTCGCCGTAGAGAGTGAGAGATTGATATGGGACTGAGTTGTGATTTAGGGTTTTAGGTTATGATTTGCGATAATACTATTTACATTTGTGTTGCGAAATTAATATTGTGTTTCGCGTTGCGAATTTGACTATCGCGTTACGAATTTGACTTTTGTGTTGCGAATTTGGCTATCGCGCTGCGAATTTGACTTTTGTGTTGCGATTTACAAATTCGCGTTGCAAATTTGACTTTCGCGTTGCGAATTTGACTTTTGTGTTGCGGATTTAACTATCGCGTTGCGAATTTGACTTCTGTGTTGCGATTTACAGATTCGCGTTGTGAATTTGGAAAATCACAATGCGAACTTGGAAAATCGCAATGCTATTTACATATTCGCGTTGCGAAATTGAAAAATGGGTTGCGAAATTGGAGTTTGCGTTGCGAATTTGTTGGTCATTTTGGCAAATCCAAAAAAAGTTGGTTAAAATCGTATATTATAAGGCATTTTCGGTCACTGAGGTTATTTTCTCTAACTAAGATGAGTAATCATAGTTGTACCTTTAAAATTGATGCATGATACATACGGTTACAATTTACAACCCAAAAGTCAAAGTTTTAGTTGTATTGACACTTTGAACTGCTACAAATATGAAAGCTTGTTCTATTTTATTTTGTTCCGGTTTCCTCTTAGGTTCCCTTTGGTTAGGAAATTAAAAGCTTCCTGTGCTTGATCACTTTTAAAATTAAATTGAAGGTTAAGATGTTATTGTTTCTGATTTGGAGAATGTGCTTTTAACCCCTTCCATCATATTAGAGTTTTCTATATATTTTTTTTCTTATTTGTTTCTTTGTCTCTCATCCCAAAAGATATATCTATTCCACATTATTAATTCTTAAATTTCCTATATATTTCTCAGACATTAGAAGAGCATTGTTTTTTTAATCTTTTGGCTTATAGGATATCAAAGAATTGTTTCCACCTGATTGCAATCCATTCTATGCTGGCTTTGGGAATAGAGATATTGATGAAATCAGCTATCTTAAGGTTGGAATCCCAAAAGGGAAAATCTTCATTATTAATCCAAAGGTAATCCAAGGATTTCATGCTTAAAGAAAGGTTACCAAATGCTGCCAATGTTACTGCACCAAACTTCTCTTCTAACGGTTTCAAGTTTGCTGGGTGAGGTAGCTATCAACCACTGTGTTGACAAATCTTATAGTTCCCTTCATGATTTTGTCCATGCCATGTTTCCGCCCATGGCCTCCGCGGAGCAGGTTTGTTACCTTTCTTTTTCCATTGATAAACCACTGCATGGAGTTTGTTTCCCAATCGGAGCCTTTTGTATATGTCTGTTGGTAAACATGGTTGTGATGGTGACTAGGCTGAGTTTTCGTACACTTATTTTTGTGAAGAGAGACCCGATTGTTCCCTGCTTTCTTTTAGATGTCCATCCTTAGGTGACATCTATCATGCCGGAATAGCATCTTACTGAGAATATATTGTCTAAATTCTCAAGATTTTAGTTTAATTCGTTTTAGGGTGTTCATTTTATTTATTTTGCTCTGCATCTTAATTTACTTCTATTAGTTACAGGAGGATTTTAATTCGTGGAATTTCTGGAAACTGCCACCTCCTTTGATTGATATATGAAGATGTCAGCTAGAATAATATTTGCTTGAGCATTCGAATACCAAGATAGATGTACGATGTCAGCTATCTTTTTGGTGCTGTACATGTAAATTTCGATGTTGGTTTCAAAAATTTGTTATAAAACTCGAGATGGATCGCTGGGTAGTCATCTGAAATGAATCGTGTCCAATTAACATTCTAGTATCTGCTTGGAACTTGAATGGCAGTTTGTTAGACATATAGTTGAGGCAGAGACCTTGCATCTCCTTGCCTGCACTTTCCAAGATCCATCTAGCCAGCACCGTTGAAGTTTCGGAGTGTATCTATTTTTCTGACTTTCTACCATGAGGTTGCGCAGGAAAATTACAGGTTTATATGTGACCCACGGCCGTTGGCGAGAACTTCCACCATGGTCTTGAAAAGGCAGAACTGGCCGACTATCGTTGTCCGAAGTGATTTAACTTGGATAGAAAGAAAGGGTTGATTCATCTCAGTTGTATTTGGGTTCAGAGTTGTTTGATGTATAATTCTGTATAGCGAATCCATGTGATTCGAGGTGGACAAATTGTTAAAATGTGTAAACTTTTGTTAAAAACTTTCAAGGAGAGAAGAGGCAGACTCTAATATTAGAATCTGCCATCTTTTAATTACTAACTCAATGATTTTTTTTAATTACTAACTCGTTCAAATCAACAGATGGATGAACATATCATACAAGAAGAAAGGAGCAAAGGGATGTGAACTCAAATCAAACACTTCACAAAAACAAAATCCTAACATTCAGGTGTTGCTCTGCAAACTGCACAAGGTTTTTGATCTCACTGTCATCAATAAAGCCGTTGCCATTGGCATCTACAGATTGAACTCCCTGCTTGCTCTTCCTGTTAGCAAACCATCCTCCCGAGACTCTTATGGCATCGGCAAGCTCGTCTTTGCTTATCCTTCCATCGTTATCTTCATCAAATCCCTTTAACCAGCTAGTAAATTCATCTACAGTCATCACTCGCTTACCGTCAACGGAGTAGTAACGAGTTTTAATCGCCATTTCTGATAATCAAAATCCGCTTGTCTGCTCCTCTCCTGACACAATGGTTGGTTTGCTTCCCAGTTTACAAGTGCTTGAAGGCTTCTCATATTTATACACTCGTGTGGTTCTTTAAGTCTTTGCAAGCAAATAAAACATGAGAATTAATTGGGTTAGCATAATTAAAACATGCAGACGCGTAATTAAAACATGCAGACGCATAATTAAAAGCATATGTAAAACAATAGTTTTTGCAATTGTTCGATGCTTGTCCAGAACCGTGTGTATATATATATAGAATTGTGTTTGACTGCTTGTATAAGTTGCCGAACTGGGTGGGCAGAAAAGGTGGAAGCCGCTTGATTTATTATGTCAAAAGGTAAAATAGCTTATTCGCCTGATATTGTAGAATTTTCGACCATTCTGAATGTCATCTTTTCGCTTTAAAGTAAGCCTCGATTGTTTCTTTCTTTTGAACTAAATTTATATCAGTTTGTAATGATTAATAGGCCGACATTTGCTTCCAAATTTTGATACTTCACCTTCCCTTTTGGCTTTGGTCATCTACTTTGTAATAATTTTTAAATGGATCATCAATTCATCATATATGCTATGCTTATTCTCTTGTAAATAAATAAAATAAAATATATTTTTGAAGAATTAATTAATTTTCAACTGTAGGGGCTAAAATAGACGTTTCATATCATGTAAGAAGTTGACAGGGAAATCAGGTTGTTGTTGGAACTCGGAAGACATCTAAAATTATTATTCACGTAAATTATATCATGACATGACATTTACCCTCCTATCCCTTATATTTTGTCTCTATTTATTCTCATAATACTAAAAGCCTTTTGTACCTAAAAAAGTTGACAAATTAAGCTGTCTAGAAAAGTGTTGCCACCTTTTAATTTCATCATTATTGATGAGAGGGAGGAATTCATTTTCTGCATGATTTTGGAAAGCAAACATTTGGTTGGAGGCAATGAATTTGGACTCCCATCTGTTACCTAACATTAAGTGTTATAATTATAAATATGAATACGCTATATATATGATAAGTAATATTTCCCTAAAACTCTTTGTAAGACATACATGTACTTGTTCTCGAAACATTGCAAAAGCTATCTTTGACAAAGGCTTTGTAAATCCATCTGCTAGTTAATGTGCAGCAGGAACATAACTAACATATAACTGATTTCCAGCAACTTTTTCCCTGACAAAGTGCACATCTAAATCGACATGTTTAGATTGTGCATGATGAATCGGATTCACACTTAATGATATGGCACTCGTGTTATCACACCAGATGATTGGTTTTTCCTGCTGTGTTACTCCAATATCATTCAACAAGGCATCTATCCAAGTAACCTCTGCAACAGCATCTGCAAGACTGCGATATTCGGCTTCCATGGTGGATATGGAGACAACCTTATGTTTCTTTGTACTCCAGGACACCAAGTTACCACCGAATAGAACACAACGTCCAGACATCGATCTTCGATCATCGATACAACCACCCCAATCAGTGTCTGCGAATGCAACGACTCTTAGTGTTTCCTTTGATGGTTTGAAGAGCAAACCATACTCAGTTGTGCCAGCTAGGTATCGTAGAATACGTTTGGCAGCCTGCAGATGACTCTCGCGTGGTTCGTGCATAAATTGAGCAACCTTGCTCACGCTGTACACTATGTCCGGTCTTGTGTGACAAGCATAAAGCAGTGCACCAACCATACTTCTAAATTCTCGAGCATCTTCAATAAGTTTTCCAGCGTCCCTTTGAAGTTTATTAGAGATCACCATTGGTGTACTGGTAGAAGTTGCTTTTGTCATGTTTGACTTCTCTAGTAATTCTGAAATAAACTTCTTTTGAGATAACATTAGACCGTGTGGACTGCACTGAACTTCAATCCCCAAGAAGTAGTTCAACTCACCAAGGTCCTTTAACGAAAAATTGATTTTGAGTGACTAAACCACTCGTTCTATTGCAGCAACCGACTGACCAGTGATCACAATATCATCGACATAGACAAGTATATAGTTTATTTCCTCTTCAGTGAGTGAAACAAACAAGGACACATCTGCTCTGGACACGTGAAACCCCATTTGTAGCAAGTTATCTTTCAGTTTGTTGTTCCAATTTCTGGGAGCTTGACGCAGCCCATACAAAGCTTTATGAAGCTTACAAACAAGCCTGGTCCCATCCTCATCGAACTGCTCAAACCCAGGCGGCTGTTGCATAAAGACTTCCTCAGTCAGATCACCATGGAGAAAAGCGTTATTTACATCCACATGTCGAAGTGGCCATTTGTTTGATACAGCTATGGAGAGAATAACATTTAGAGTCGGGAATTTGACTACGGGACTAAAGGTTTCCTTGAATTCATGTCCTGGTACTTGCAGAAATCTCTTTGCCACTAGCCTCGCTTTGTAACGTTGAATTGAGCCATCGAGATTTTTTTTAGTTTGAACAGCCATTTACATCCAACTGTTGTTCGTCCAGTTGGCAATGGAACCAACGTTCATGTTCCATTTCGGTGTAAGGCATCAAGTTCATCATGAACTGCAGAAGTCCATTTACTCGACTTCATAGCCTGACTAATATCAGTAAGAATCATATTATCGTCTACAGGAAGGAAAACCTTAGGTTTGAAAATCCCATGTTTACTTCTAGTAACCATAGGGTGAGTATTGAGCAGTGGGACCTGATCAGGAACACTGTCATCCTCGACAGGAGGTTGGGCTGACTCATTAACTTATTCAGCACTGAGCATGGGAGGACTACTCATGTGTGAATTTTGAAGCGAGTGATCGGAAGATTCAATTGCAGTGCTCAACTCATCTTCATGAGCCACTTCATTTTCAGGCGAGCTAGCCTGAGACGACGTACCAGGATGTTCCAGAATTGGAGCCACTGTAGTAGAACATGCGCTATGTCTTGGAGGAACGACCTCTAGTGATGCTGAGCGTAGAGATGAAACCATGTGATGAGCATCATCCTGTTTAGCAGCTGCAAAGGGAAACACAAGCTCATCAAATTTAACATGTCTACTAATAAAGATTCGACCATTGGCTCCAAGACATTGAAAACCTTTATGTTGTGAGCTATAGCCTAGAAATGTACACTCTTGAGATCGAGGCATCAATTTATGGGGTTGAAATTCTCGCAGATGCGGAAAACATCGACAACCAAAGACGCACATAGTTGTGTAATCAGGTTTCTTGTGAAATAGCTTCTCAAAAGGAGAAATATTATTCAGCACCTTAGATGGAAGACGATTTATCAGGTATGCTGTTGTGGTAACAGCATACGACCAGAACTTGATTGGAAGGGATGCTTGTGCTAGCAATACAAGTGCCAACTCAATGAGGTGTCTATGTTTACATTCAACGACTCCATTTTGCTCGGATGAGTGAGGACATGTGACTCTATGCAAAATTCCTGTATGAGTTAACTCAGCTGTCCAGTTTCTATATTCACCACCCCAATCGCTTTGTACGGCCTTGATTGACAAAGAGAATTGAGTCTCAACCATGCTCTTAAATAATCTAAAAGCAGTAATAGCTTGTTACTTATTCTTCAACAAGTAAACCCACGTATGCTTGGTACACGCATCTACAAATGATATAATACCGAAAACCAGCTGAGGGCGCTGGCGAGGGCCCCCAAAGATATGTGAAAACGAGTTGAAATGGCTCATCATACACCGTGGTTGAGTCAACAAAAGGCAGTTTATGGCTTTTACCCAAACAACAAGCAACACACAGCTGATTTGCATTACTTGGAATATCAATAGCAATGGAATTACAAACCAATTTCAAAGTTGAAAATGCTGGATGACCTAATCTTCTATGCCAAAGCTCAAACGAGTTACAATGAGTATGAACTGCATAAGCCTTAGCATTATTACAAGCATTCAACTGACTATCCAAGGTAAATGTATAAAGTCCCCCTTTCTGCCTTCCTCGAAGTAGAATATTGCATGTTGCTTCATCTCGAACACAACAAGTATCAGCATGAAACTCGAAGAAGATGTGATTATCCCTAGCAAGCTTCGACACAGAGAGAAGGTGTTTAGTGATTTTAGGAACATGCAACAGATCAGTAAGTAGTAATGTTTGTGAAGAGGACCTTAAAACAGACCGTCCTACTGATTGAACATTAAGAGAGGAACCATTACCAACCACGATATTACCTGGTCCATCAAGATCAGTAGGGTGAGTAATGTGAGATGCATCAGGTGTGACATGATGCGTCGCCCCCGAGTCAACAATCCACTGAGTACGAGACGATTTCGCATTTGTAGAAGAAGTAGCAGCACCTTGTGTAGCCACTGAACTGACTCCAGACTTATTAGCACAGCACGTACAAGCAACACTATCAAGATTAACATAGTTGATGTTGCTCGAATCTTCCTTGTATTGTGATCGAGCATTGTTGGCAAGGATTCCTACAAAATCACGGTCAAACCTGTACCAGCAACGATCAACCGAATGGCCAATCTTACCACACAACTGACACTGCAGCCGTGCACGACCCCTACCACCAGCTCGACCTCCACGAGTTGTTGAGGGCTGCTGTTTGAATTCATTAGTGATGCCAGAACCAGTGCTTACGTCCTCGGTGCCTAGGCGACGCTAGAAAATTTATTATTCAATGATAATAGGTTTAGGTTGCATCTCTATTTATAATAGAAAACCCTGGTACATAATTCCAAAATTAACCCTGTACCGTACTGCGGGGGCGCACCCCCTGTACCCCCAACCCATATAATCGTAACCCCCTCTACGAGACTTTCTTTGTAAGGACAGTTGATGTTCGCTTCGCTCACTCCGCTCCATCCCATGTCCTCTTTACCGGTATATTTATGAGCCATACCTTACAAATCTCCACCTTGGCGAATATCCTACCCCTTAAGAAACATTCAATGTGGGTTGGGTTACCTTACTTCTTTAACAACTTGAAACATTCAACAAGTCCAAGCAATGCTTGAACTTGTCTGTTGTAACTGGCTTGGTGAACATATCAGCGGCATTCTCATCAGTGTGTACCTTCTGAAACAAAATCTCTCCAGATGCAACCAACTCTCTGATCTTGTAAAAACGTACATCAATGTGCTTAGTTCTAACACGATATACCTGATTCTTAGCTAAGTGAATAGCACTTTGATTGTCGTAGAGCAGCTGAACACCCAACTCCTTCACTAAACCAGTGAGCCATAAAGCTTCTTTTGCAGCTTCAGCCGCTACCATGTACTCAGCTTCAGTTGTAGATAGTGCCACAACAGATTGAACAGTAGACTTCCAACAAATAGGTCTTCCACCAAGAGTAAAAACATACCCTATCGTAGATCTTCTATTATCCAAGTCACCTGCATAGTCTGAATCCACATATCCTACAACCAAAGGATTATCTCGTTGACTACCAAAAACAATTCTATGTCCCACAGTACCCTTTAAGTACCGAAAGATCCACTTGACTGCTTCCCAATGTTGCTTACCATGTTTAGACATGTACTTACAAACTTGACTAACAACATAACCTAAATCAGGACGAGTACATACCATTGCATACATCAAGCAGCCAACAACATTAGAATACGAAACCTTTGCCATATCTTCAGCTTCCTTATCTGTCTTAGCGCACTGTTCTGATGAGAGCTTAAAGTGGTTCGCCAATGGAGTGCTAACTGGTTTTGCGCTGCTCATCGCAAACCTTTCTAGCATTTTTTTAACATAACCCCATTGAGATAGCCACAGTTTCCTTGAGTCTCTGTCCCTGCAAATTTCCATTCCAAGAATTTTCTTTACAGCACCTAAATCTTTCATATCAAATTCCTGACTCAATAAAGTTTTCAAACCGATAACATCATCCATGTTCTTCGCAGCAATCAACATATCATCAACATACAGTAATAGAAAAATAAAAGAACCATAATCAAGGCTCTTAACATAGACACAACAATCATACTCACATCGGTTGTAGCCAATCTTGATCATATAGGAGTCAAACCGTTTATACCACTGTCTCGGAGATTGTTTCAACCCGTACAAAGATTTCTTCAATCTGCAAACTAAATGCTCGTTTCCAGGTTGAGTGAAACCTTCAGGTTGCCGCATGTAGATCTGATCCTCTAAATCACCATGAAAAAAAGCAGTTTTAACATCCATATGCTCTAAATGCGAATCCCAACTGGCCACCAATGCAAGTACTGCTCGGATTGAAGTGTGTCTGACCACAGGAGAAAAGATTTCATCATAATCAACTCCTTTCTGCTGTGAAAAACCCTTTGCTACCAAACGAGCCTTGAACTTCTCCCCCTTTTTTCTGTTACTGTTGGTTTCTTCTTATACACCCATTTGCAACCAATCGGCTTTTTACCCTCAGGAAGGGGAACCAACTCTCATGTACGATTGTGATTCAAAGCCTCCATCTCCTCAACCATGGCTGTCATCCACTTGTCGTTTTCCTGACTAGTAATAGCATCATGAAAAGTAACTGGATCATCACTGCTAACAATAAGTGCAAAAGAGACCAAGTCTTCAAAACACAATATACTCGGAGGCTTTATATTCGTCCGTCTCACCCTATCTCTGGCGAGACTATAATCCTGCAAATCATCCGTAGTGGAACCACCAGAAGTCGGTTGAGACGTTTCTGGTTTCTCAAATGGAAACTGCTCGAAATCCACCACTGTCGTGTCTTTCTTCTGTTGCAACATGGATTGTTCATCAAAAACAACATCTCTACTGATCACAATTTTCTTCGCAACTGGATCCCAGAACTTGAATCCTTTGACACCTTTCTTGTAACCCAGAAAAATGCACTCCTTCGATTTTGCATCAAGTTTGGATCTCTCATCAGCAGGTACATGCACATAAGCAGGACAACCAAAAATCCGTAAGTTATCAAAACTAACATCATGACCAGTCCATACCTCTTCTGCAACTTTCCCAGCCAATGATGCCCTTGGCGATCTGTTGATAAGATAACATGCCATGTTAACAGCCTTGGCCCAGAAGTGTTTGGGAAGCCCCGCATTCAACCGTAAACATCTGGCTCTTTCATTCAACGACCTGTTCATCCGTTCCGCAACACCATTCTGTTGTGGTGTCTTGCGCACTGTAAAATGTCTCTTAATCCCGTGCTCCTTACAGAAGTGTAAGAACTGTGAATCTGTGTACTCCGTACCATTGTCAGACCGCAAACACTTGATTTTTTGTCCTGTTTGGTTTTCTACCTCACCTTTCCACAGCTTGAACTTCTCAAAAACTTTAGATTTCTGTTTCAAAAAATACACCCAAACTTTCCGTGAAAAATCATCAATAAAAGTAACATAATGCCTAGATCCACCCAAAGACGATATCGTGGAAGGCCCCCATACATCAAAATGCATATAATCAAGAATTCCTTGAGTTGTGTGCTTCACAGTCTTGAAACGGACTTTAGTCTGTTTACCAAGAACACAATACTTGTAAAAATCGAGCTTACAACTTTTGACACCATGCAAAAGATTTCTTTTGTGTAATTCTGTCATACCACGTTCACTAAGATGAGCAAGACGCATATGCCACAGTTTTGTAGTATCATCACAGGACTCAACTGAATGAACTCCACCTGCAACGGTACTCCCTAACAATCTATAAATATTTCATGCAGTCATCTTTCCTTTCATCACAGTCAAAGCACCTTTTAACAATCCGAATGGTTTCGCTATCCTCATCAGTCTTAGGGATAAAACCATTCTTGTGCAAAGTGCCCAAAGAAATCAAATTCTTCTTCAAATCTGGGATATGTCGAACACCACTCAACGTCCGAACAGAGCCATCATACATCTTAATTCTGACATCACCAATACCAACAATATTGCAACATCGATCATCACCCAAATAAACAAAACCAGAATTAACCGACCTGTATGTCGAAAACCATTCCCTATTTGGCGTGATGTGATAAGAACATCCAGAATCAAGAATCCACGCATCCGTCAATTGAGTCGTTGAAATAAAAAGCATATCACCCTCACTGCAATCAGAATTGTCATCCTCGACCACGTTCACAGACTTGGATGAAACATCACGTTTCTCATCAGTCTGCTTTTTTTAACTTCAGACAGTCTCGCTTCATATGTCCCGCCTCCTTGCACTTGTAACAGTGAATTGTCTTCTTATCCCTAGATTTGGATCTGGAATTCCGCTTGCCAGACCCTGCCTTCTCTGGCTTCCGTCCACGGTCTCGATTACCCTTGACATATAAGCTATCTGCTTGAGAGTTTTCCCCTGCATTCTGCTTCCGCTGGTTGTAAGCCAACAAGGCTGCAGTAATCTCCTCAACGTTGATAGTCTCTTTCCCATATGTAAGAGTAGTCACCATATGTTCGTAAGAGGGAGGCAACGAACACAACAAAATCATCGCTCTGTCTTCATCCTCAATTTTTACATCAAGCCGAGCCAAATCAGAAATGATTTGATTGAAGACATTCACGTGTTGTGCCAAATCATGATCGTCCTGAATCTTCAGCCCATACAGTCGCTGCTTTAGATACAGTTTTGTCGTTAAGGATTTGGACATAAACTGACTTTCCAACTTCCTCCAAATTTCGTTTGGAGACGATAAATGCATGACGTGATACATTACCTCGTCCGCCAAGCATAATCGTATGGTTCCTGTCGCTCGTTGTTGCAATTCTTCCCAATCTTCCTCCTCCATCGACGCCGGCTTTATAGGTCGCAAAGCCTTCAGGATCCCCTGCTGCGCCAACAGATCATTCACCCTCGTTTGCCATAATCTGAAGTTAGCCAGACCATCGAATTTCGCAACTTCGAATTTTGCTCCTGACATCTGATACCAATTGTTGATAAATCGGGCAAAGTAAACGAAAGAACACAAGAATTTTAACGAGGTTCGGCAATGTGCTTACGTCCTCGGTGCCTAGGCGGCGCTAGAAAATTTTTTATTCAATGATAATAGGTTTAGGTTACATCTCTATTTATAATAGAAAACACTGGTACATAATTCCAAAATTAACCCTGTACCGTACCGCGGGGGCGCACCCTCAACCCACATAATCATAACCCCCTCTACGAGACTTTCTTTGTAAGGACAGTTGATGTTCGCTTCGCTCACTCCACTCTATCCCCTGTCCTCTTTACCGGTATATTTATGAGACATATCTTACAATATACTTTATTAACATGTTATTAATTATTAATGATAATAAAAAAATATTAAATATAAAATTATTTTTAATAAAATAAAAACAGTTAATTTTACTAAAAGTAAAATAAAATAAAATTATAATCAATATTTATAATTATAATCATAAACTAAACATATAATTAGAACGTATTTTTATAATCGTTAACAACAAAAGTAATCACTTGAGATTATATGAGGATTATACATAGAAAATATTAAGAACCCAATCAAAAAAATAAACAAAAAGATATGTATGAAACAGATCTGACTACATCGATAAACAAAACACAAAAGTATATCAAACTATTGGAAAAACTATTGACACCCGTAAATCAAAGTATCAAACTACTGAAAAACTATTGTCACATGTAAATCAAATTCGAGTGCGTAAGAAGATTATTCAAGAACTTAAATTGCATATTCAAATATAATCTAAAATTTCTAAACATGAAAGAATAGATAGATAATAAATAAATATCATATTGATCAGTTGGTACTACATCTAATCTAATCCTAAAAAAGGGGCTATCAATCAATTGATAAAAAGATTAATTTTTTTATCGAAATATAGAGAAAAACACACTAAAATGTAGAGAAAATAAAAAATAAAGATATATATATAATATAAAAAATTAATTAAAAAAACCAACACCCAAATTAGTGTAGTCGTATGTCAAATAAAGATGAAAGAAAATTATTTTTAGTATAAAATGCTTTGTAAATCTATCATTTTTATTTTTACTTTTTACATATTTAATTGAATATAAAATTAAATTAAATTTTTGAAAAATTGACTTTATATTTATATTAAATTATTATTATATATTTTTTAAATTTTATTATTATTGTTTGATTTTTTTATTATGTGATTGATAATATGGTCTTATACGGAGATGGTCGAAGGGTGAGGACAATTACCTCTTGAAAATTTAAAATTGTCAGATATATTTATTTTTATGTATATTTTTTATTAAAAATCTATTTTTACCCCTTCTAAAATTTTATATATTTGTCATCTCCTAAAATTTTAAAAATTCTTCCCTTAACATAAAATCTTACGTCCATTCATGTGATTCTTATACACTATAAATGTTTTTTTAATAAGTTTATCGTAGTGTTTTGAAATATTAACTTTTTATTAATAATTAATTATATATTTTTTATTAATAATTATTTATATTTTTTTGATTAGGATAAGGTGGTTACAAAATAATATTTTTTTAAATATTCTCAATCATTGTGACAATGAACACTCAATTACCCCTACTAAACTCACTGATGCTCAAAATCAAAACCTATAGAAATAACAATAATTCATTTAACTACTAAAATAATTTGATTTGTGCCTAAGAATTATGTGTATCATAAATAATATTGATATTAAAGAGAGATTAAAGATCATGTTAATTGTTGATAAAATAATGGTATGATATTTATATATTAATTTTATATCTTACTTTTAAAATTCATTTAAGTTAGAGTTTAAGTGAAACTTAAATTATAGGGTAAACTATATCAGTGACCGCCTAATTATAGTCCATTTTTTATTTTAATCATCATTTTTGAATTTTTATCAATCAAGTAAAATTACACTAATTATAGGGTTTACTTTATTACTGGTTTAACTGATAAAATTACACTTTTAGTCATTGTTACTTATATATTCTATTAGTTTGGTTCTAATTTTAACAAAGTAAATAAATTTAATATTCGAATCAAAATATGTCATGTGTTACCAATCAATTGGAGGGTTTAATTTATTTTAATTTAATCATTTTATTTCACACTAATTAGAGGGTTTAGTTTATTTTAAGAGAAAATCGCCTCAGTGACCAAAAAAAAGTTATAATATACGATTTTAACCAACTTTTTTTGGATTTGCCAAAATGACCAACAAAATCGCAACGCGAAATAAAAATCGCAACGCGATCCCCAGAATCGCAAATCAGTTTCCAAAATCGCAACGCGATTCT